AGATACGCCACTGGTACACAGATAGAACCAACTGCACCGCCATTGTACAAAGTTTGGCTGCTTCTGTTACGTCACATACTGTAATTGGCTCATCTCAAATGATTAGAAACACAATGAAATGGTGGTGTTTCTTATTCCTATCATGGCAACTGCTCATAGAACCAATTACGAATAGCTCTTACTTTTTTCGTATTCAGACGCAATAAAAACGGTTGTCATCGTTTGCAGCGTATACTACTTAGGCTACTATGATTATACCTACTATGATTATACCTACTATGATTATACCTACTATGATTATACCGACTATGATTATACCTACTACTTGGAATACTATGATTATACCTACTATGATTCGTGGAGTTTCATGTTCTGTCCAGAAAAAGCTTTTGTATGCCCATATATAGCCTAAGTCATAATGTGCCTGTATATGGCCATGATGTGATATCATCATGACTATATTATTTAGGCGTGTCACATTTTTTTGCCAAATAAAATTTGACAGGGGTGGCGCCAGGATTTTCCCGACGGGGGCGGGGGGGGGGGCCGAGGTCGAGCTTTGATTAAAAGGTTACAAAAGTCGTCCAGGGGCCAAAGCCTCTGAAATTTTGACAATTTAGGGGTTTCAAACGCTTATTTAATCGATTTTAGAGTCTACTAATATCTAGAAAATACATATAATTTTTTTTTCTCTCCGACGAATTGTGCTTTTTCTCCCCGACGGGTGGGGGTAGCTCTCCCCGACGGGGGCCCTGGCCCCCCGCCCCCTCCGCTAGCGTCACCCGGAAAAACCAGGGAACAGTAAAATTATAATTTCACTGTTACCTGCAAAAACCAAATAGGTAAATAAAGAAGAAGTGCTCAATTGTAACTAAAACGTTTCTTTATCAGTCGTGATTTTTTTTTTGGGGGGGGGGGGACTAGGGAGCGAGTAAATTTTTTGCATATATGCTGGCTATAATAACAGCAGGATCCAGAAAAATACAAGAAAATTGCCGATCCAGATATCGAAGAAGATGATGATGAAACCACTGGCCAATAGGAAACTGGAAATTGGAAATGCGTACGTGCAATTGGTTAATGATAGAAACGTGCTGAACTTGCTAACCGATAGCGCTCGCTAACCGTTAGCGTAGCAAGATCGTGGTCATATGGAAATACAATCGCTACACAGTCGCTACACCGTTTTCACTGCAATTCTTGCACTGCGTAACTAGCTGTTCCCGACACAATCAGGAACGATCCCTGATCCGACTGACAGATCAGCGTCGCCAAGGGAGGCGGCGATAGCGTGTGGCGATTTTATGGAAAGCAGGCTTAACAAACGTTTAGCGCTAACTGTTAGTACTAACAGTTATCTACCGATCCGGATAATAGGGCTCTAGTGTGAACCATTTTTGGAACATTAGTAACATATCCAAGGGGCGAGGCTTAGCGGAAAGATCCACTCATTAAACTGCATCATAAGAGTTGTTGCATAGTCTGAATCTCAGTGCCACAGTCACAGATGATTGGTTATACATTATTACAAAAACATGCGTGCGAACATTTCAATTGCTTTTAGAAATATTGTTACAAATCGCTTTGAAAATAATGGTTTATTATGTGCATCGTGCAGGGGAAACTTTATTAGATTAAAAGAATCACACGACTGTGGTGAGCTGGTATTGTTTTTATAGATCGCTTTTTAGACGAAACAGGAACATATCACCACAAAGAAAACACATTTGTTTTGT